GGGCGGCGCAGGCCATACTGGTAAATAGGTGCTTTCCGGCATATGGACCGTGAAAGGCAAGGGCTGGGGGAAAAAGGGAGGTTGTTTCCTTAGTGCCCTGGTTCATCTACATTTGACACCGAAACGGGTTGTGCGCACAGCATTACTGCCTGTATGTAAGCCCTTATTAGAAATAACTCTAAAAAACTCTCAAATTTAATAGGGGACCAGAATTTTTCTGCAGTGTTTTTGAAAAGGCAGCTATATAGCCTGGAGGATGGTCTCTGCTGATCCGACTGCCCTCCTCTGTGGTTTATGCTCCCCTGTTCTTGCTGCAGCCCCTCTTACTAAAGGCAGCATTAATGCCTTGCGTGGGATTCAGCCCTCTGTATTCAGAGTCCGTGGAAATCTGCTGCCGATTCGGTGTATCACACTGTGAGATCTGGTTTCCTTTCTTTACTTGAATGACAGCGGGAGGAAACATGCCTTGTGCCAAAACCTGCTTGCTTTGCTAGGAACATTCAGTAAAAGTTGTCTTTTCATGTGCAAGCATGTTTCTTTGCCCCAGGACCTGACATATACAGAGGGTTAGCGTTTAGGAAATAATTTCATTTGCACTGGGCAACTTGCAGAAGCAAATGAGACACAGTGGTAAAGTTGTTGTCTTGTGTGGAGTAAGCGCAGGCATGGGCAACCTGTTGCTGCTTCCCCCTTGCCCTGTTGAAAACTACACCAAAACAAGTGCCGTGGTGTTTCTAAGCTACTGGGCCAGCTTGATGTTAGGACCACACTTGCTCTTACTCCCAGTAAGCTCAGACTCCCTGGTAATCCCTATTCCCCATGAGATGGCTCACACCCTGGTGCTAGCCCAGAGGGAGATGACTGGAGAGAGACTAGGCACAAGGAGGGAGGGAATGGCTTGCCATCCTGGTCCTGGTGCACCATCCTGGTGCAAAATGTTGATGGATAGGTCTGGTGGTCCTATCAGGTAGAGGGCATCAAGCGTGGTGAGGTCTTGCTCATTGTGCTGACTGGGAGAGGTCCCTGGGCTGAGCCACCTCGAGAGCTGTGCTTGGACTTTGGGAGAGAGTGAGCTGACGAGGTCCAGAGAGAGCTGGGGGCAGAGGAAGGACAGTTAAGTAGTGTGGGTGATGCAGAGTGCTGTCCCTGCTGCTCCCGGGAGATGGGGTTGTCCCCTTAGGAGGCATGGAGGGAACAAAAGATGTGCTATTAAAAACCCTATCAAACCACCAGCAAACCGAATCTGTGAGTTAATGTAGAGGGACAAAGCCCTGATTTCTTAGCACTCACAGCTGGTAGGAATGGAAGGCTTTATCAGAGATGCTGCTGCTTTGGAGAGGCTTGTTTCCAGTATAGTTTCCTAATCCCAGTATGGAAATGTGTATCCCTTGCTGGCTGATGCCAACCACCCCTTCAAAGGCCAACTTCTGCTCAGTAATGCCACCAGCGAGATGCAGCTACAGTTAGGGCTTCCCTGGCATAGTTCATCAGCTCCCCTGCTCGTGTTAGGTCTCTGCTTCCTGGCTGGATTTCCATGTGCATCCCTACCTTAGGTAACTCATTAGAGCAAGCTTTTGAGGACAATTTTTTTCGCTAAGTCAAAGGGAGCTTTCTCTCTTCACACTTTAGTTTCTTCTTGTAATCAAATGCCTGTAAACAGTATGAACGCGTTGTCAAGATTCAATCTGGTCTGTGTGAATTTTGGTTAGATTTAAATTAACTAACCAATTAAAGGACTTTGTGTATGATAGAAAATTGTATCTTGTAACAAGCAGCCACTAACTTTGCTTAATTAAGATGCTGCTAAACATAATTTAGGATTTAGTATAGACCGGAGGATGTCTTCCTTCTACCACCCTACAGGCGCAGCCACATTTAGCGTGCCTCCTCCCACAGCGACTTTGCTCTGTGTTTCCACAGCTGGGCTTTTCCCTACTAACCTTTTCACTGCAATAACTGAGCTTGTCCTAATCTTAGTACATCCTTGCCCAGACCTGAAACACCTCACGGAGGTCCTTTTGCTTATCTCAGGGGCTTTGTTTCCTTGCTCCATATTCTTTGCAGGGTTGGGTTGGGCGTGGAGGGTGTCCTAGTGCAGCAGATGCTAGCTACTATGAAGAAAATTAACTCTATCCCAGCCAAAGCCAGGACAAGGGGGAGGTTTGTTGCTCCTGCCTGTATGTTCTTGAAGGGACCCTCAGCCAAACAGGCTGTACGGCAGTGTAGCGTGGTGTCCAGGGGGTCCAACACAGTGCTCCTGGAAATGCCTTGAAAGAAGATGGTAAGTTGTCTGTTCTTGTTCAGACTCTTAGTCGGCAAGATTTCTGTCTTGCTTTCTAAAACCGCTCCAGGAGGAGACAGTTGCTGTATAAAGCACGTGGGGAAGGGAAACTCCTGCCACCGCGCGCTCCTTCAGCCCCAGCTCCTTTTCTCTTCCTCTGAACTGCTGTTTCCAAAGCCTCAGCCTAGCTTCCAGCGGAGGTGGAGATGCAGAGCATGTAGTCAGTGTGCGGAGGGGCAGGAGGAGGTACAGTAAGGCTGGTGGCCCAGGAAGGATGAGGAAGAGTGTTGAGTGGAAGGGTGAATTTGGGGATGAGTCCAGTGAAGGGGTGATGCAGGTGGGTCCTTCTCACCTGACCAGTGACCTTTCCTCTGTCCCTTCAGAACAGACTTTCTGTCCCACAGACATAACCTGGGGAAAATGCGTAGTCCTTACGCTAGGTAAGCCATTTTTCCAAGGATGAGGAGAACCTCACGGTGACACTGGGAACACACCCATTTTCATGACTGGTCCCCTCCCTCCTCTTCCCACCAGTGTGTCCCACAGCAGCTCCCTATGTCCCATGGTCTCTTTTTCCTCTGTCCACAGAGCCATGACAAGAGCTATGGCCAAGGAAGGAGAGCCCAACGGGGCCATGGCAGCTCCTGAAGAGATAAAAAAGGAGGAAATGGAAGAGAGAGGCCAGTGGAGTAGTAAAATGGAGTTTGTGCTGTCTGTGGCTGGGGAGATCATCGGTCTGGGAAACGTGTGGAGGTTCCCATACCTCTGCTACAAGAACGGCGGTGGTAAGTTCATAGCATGCATGAGTTGTCCTAGGTCCATAGGCATGACAAGAGATACACATGTGCCTGGACCCATTTCTCCTACGCCTCACATGCCCCTACACGCACTCCCTTGCCCTGTCCTCCAGCAAGTTAGCTCCTACCAAAACCAGGAGGAGTAGCACTGAGGGGTGAATCCAAGTTCCCCAGCGGGTAGTGTTTCTCAAAGCAGTTCTCCCAAGTTTGGATGCTGAGTTGAACTTTAGTAACTCTTCAAGGCTCTTGTCAAGAGACAGATGGTCTTCTGAAACCATCAGAAAATGGCAAGCGGTCAAAAAGCCAGCAGCAACCTCCTTCTACACAACTCCCTTTTCTCACCTCCGTGTCACCCCTACCTCTCTCAGGCCCTTGTTACAGAGGAGGAAAGGCTTTGATGATGCCGCTATCCTTACCAAGGCCTGGAACCCCCTTCCTTGCACCTGGGTCCCTGCTTCCTTCTCCAGGGTACTTGATCTTCCGGCAGCTCCTCTCACAGGGCTGGTGGCCCTGTGGTTATTAGAGAAACGCAGTATTTTATTGTGTCAGTACAACTCCATCAGTTCCAGAAATGAGGGAGGGTACCAGATACCCAACACTGAAGCACCTTGGCTTGTCATATGGGCAAATATAAGATGGAAGGGCCATTTTTGAGAACATGCATGTGAAGGATTTTCTTGGAGGACAGGAAGAAGGAGGATGTTGCTACCTTTTCCCCAGGAACAGTTCTCCCAGTGGTCAACCCACTGCTAGGGAGACCCAACCCTGGGAAGAGTTCATTCCCCTTTCCTTTTGTTTCTTGCGTGACTCTCCTTTTCCAATAACACTGCAATAAGATCATTACATGGTTAAAAATTAAACTTTCTTGTAACAATAAAATGGAACTGGGAAAGAGGAAGGGAATAATTGACTGTCACTAACTTTTCTTGGTGAATCAAAATCTAGCTTTATAAAAGAAAAGGAGGAATAATAAATTACATGTCAAATACAGCAGTAACTTGTCTTTTGTTCTTGTTCTCTAGCGACACCTTGAAATAACGCTTTGGGACTTGCATGTTCTCCCCACTTTAAACTGCCCTTATTTGCAGACCATGCCGCAAAAGCCTTTATTTCCCAAGGTACTGTGAGCTGTCACCAGTGGATGAGTGATTCAGCGGTTGTTCATCCCAGGACCACCAAATTCCTGTCCCCTGTGCTGTTACTCGAGTTTATCCAAATCAAGCAGGAGTCAATACAACGTCTCCTCTGAACAAAATGGGGGTTGGATAAGAGGATGGTTAAAGAAAATGGAAGGAGTTTTTCTTGAACTTGGGATGGTTTTTAGCAGATCCTCCAGTCTCTTTCTCTAAGGTTTTGATTGTAGGCACTGGAGGCACCAAAAGCACACCAGACCGGTGTGGGTTAGTAAACACCAGTGGTGCATCGGATTGAACAGCCCATTCTGCAGTGATGCTCTGAGAATGAAGTCATGTTTTTTTGGCATGGAAAATTCCTTCCTGAGCTCAGATGATATCTCTGCATAGTTTATGCCTATGGTATCTGGTTCAGTAGTCCTTGCAATTTGTATGCTAATTAGTGTAAGTGAAAAGGCTACTTTTGTTCATTTTAGATATCTATTGAATAACTTGATATTTTTTTTTTTTTTAAATTAAACTACTCTGGAATATCTAAGGCTGTGATTCAGAGGCCAAGAAGGCTAGGCTTGGGAAAGATCAGGATGGGAGAGTCCTTCCCTCGCAGGTCACATACTGCCATTGCAGAAACTATGCTGCGACCATAGAAGGTACATTTCTCTTGCTAGAGCTCTAGGGAACCAGATGGCCAACAAACCAGTACGGGACAAGGCGCTGTCTTTCCCATGTCACTCAGATATATTCTCACCTTGAAAAGTCCTTGAAATTTAAAAAAAGACATTTACCACCTATAAATGCCCCCCCTCCCCCCCACCCTGCCCCAACCCAAATTGCTGTCCTGTCACCTTTCTCCTCCTTCAGATATAGTGAGGCGGTTATGAAGCTGTAAAGACAGATGTCATAAAAAGGATCGTGCTAACTTGCTGTAAAGCAACTGCATGTAAACTTATCTATGATTGCACTTAGAAATCTGATCTAATTGCTCAGTGTCCTGAACTTTTTATTGACTCGTCAGGAAAGGGGCTCCAGCAGAGCAGCAAACTGGGGAGGAGAGAAACTGGAGTTTCAGCTGGTAACCGCTCTGGGAAGGTCAAGAAAGACAAGGCAATAGAGGTGTGAGAAGGCCCTCATTACTCAGCAACCCAAGTGAATCAACCTCTGGGACAAATAGCATCAGAGGAGGGGTTCTGGGACCTGCTGAAAGGCTCACCTGTGTGCAGGCTAGTAAAGCTGTCTTGTAGATTTGGCATGCAGATAGATGTCTTGCAGCACCAAAATCAGCAGCTGCCTCTAGTTTAGCATATGCAGTTCCCATTCCCTGCTCTGCAAACCTGGATGGAGGGGGTGAAGCAGCCTCCCTCCCTTTGGCCCCAGGTCCCCTGCAGCTACGGCACAGCTGTGTTTAGGGGAAATTTGGATGTTGCTTGTTTTTGTGACATTGTTGGCTTACAAACAAGTGGAATTGTTCCCAGTTGCTAATCGTCACGGGAAAGAATTTCAGTGCAAATGCCTGTGCTGGCAGGGGAGGAGAGGGCCTGGGGGACAAGGTCTGGCTTGGCCGAGAAAGGGGCCATCATCGGGGGTTGGACTAGATGACCTCTAGGGGTCCCTTCCAACCCCAAACATTCTACGATTCTATGATCTCGGCTGCAAACAGCCAAGATGGTCTCCAGGCGCTGGCGGTGGGACATACCCATGTCCCAAAGTTTAGTGAATGGGATGGCAAGTCCTTGACAGTTGTTCCAGCAAGGAAGGCAGTCGCCTTGGCCTGTTTGGAGGGGAATGAAAGTGTGAAAACCTACAGGAATGACGGGGAGAAAGCCGGTGAGTTGACAGAAGGAAGGCCAGTAGTGAAACTGAGATCTCAGAGCAGTTTTGAGCAGAACACCGAAAATACCAGGTATTTCGGTTTGGCAGCAGAACCGAAATGAAGGAAAAAACAGTTTAGACAGCTGAACAGGGCATTAAACACCCTTTTTTTCCTCCCCTTAGTTCATCTTTTCTGATGCATTTTTTTTTTGTTGGTCATTGTTTCTGGAAAAAACCTTGCTCTCTCTCCCCTTCCTCTTCCATTTCATCAAGGGTTAATCTGAGGGCTATTTCAGGTTGATTTCTCTTAAGACATTTATCTATATTTTACTAAAAAATTGAATTTGAAGAGAGAAGTTAAACTTTATCATTTTGAAAATTCTGGGAAGATACTCTGTTGCCCTTCCCCCATTTCCATTCTTTTGGTGCAAACTGCTTTTCAAATTTGACGTGAAATAAGTCTCAAGCAAATTTATATCCTGGCAAATTTATTACTTACCAAGAAATGTCACCAGCCTCCAGGTTTGTGTCCTCTGGGCAAGTGGGAGTTTTGCTGCAGCTCCCGGGAAAGGCAGAACAAATGTGGTTATATGAAACAAGGACTCCTTTTGCTTCGCCTGACTCCTGAAGGAATGAGATCAAGACAGTGAAGCAGGCAGAACTTCTCCAGCACTGTCTTTTTTTATCCCCTTGCCTGGTTACTCCTTGCCTCTAGGTTTTGGCCAAGACCAAAGGCAGAAGTACTGCAGTAGCACAAGACAGGCCACACTTGTATTTTTTTTCTGAGAAATGATGGTGTTGTAGATGTTGGGTTTTTTAGCAGAGGTTTCACAGTTAATTCAGAGAAATATTTGTGTTTTTCTAGCTGATTCCAGCTGTGGACCCAGGTATGTGGCAAAGGTTGGTGGGGATAAGGTTTTAGAGAGGTTTCTGACGCAGCTTCTCACCCCTCTCTGCAGGAGCCTTCCTCATCCCTTACCTCATATTCCTCTTCACCTGCGGGATCCCCCTGTTCTTCCTGGAGACAGCACTGGGACAGTACACCAGCCAGGGAGGGGTCACTGCCTGGAGGAAGATCTGTCCCATCTTTGAAGGTGAGTCAAGTTATGGGAATTGTTGGCAGCACTTTCTAGTAATCAGTGACTCAGAGCCTTTTTTGGAAATGTTACTGTCTTTTTTTTTTTTTTTTTTTTTTTTTTTCCCCTTTTTCCTTTATTCTCCCTCCCTCCCTTCGTCTCTCCACCAGCCTTGTCATCCCTCCTGGTGGCTGCTGTGTGTGCAGGGGCAGTGCCCCCACTCCCCCATAGGTGACTGAGGGCCTGTGGTGCTGGCTGGGGGCTGTGCTGATCCAGCCAAGCTACGGTCGCTGCTTTGAGATGCTCAGAGCCCAGGAGAGAGGAGAGCAGGATGGCCAGCGAGCAGGAGGAGGAGGAGGAGGAGGATGGAAGTGTCAATGCACAAACACCTGCATGTAGTCCAGGAGAAATACTCAAGAGAGAAGAGGATGAGGAATGCTGGCTGGCTTATGGTGCTTTCCTTGCCCATCACTGTGCCAAAGGCTGCTGCGGCAGCGTTTGCAGGCTGGGGGCCCGCAGGACTGGGGGGGGGGGGGGGGGGCACCCCTGACAGCCCAGAGATGGGCTGGGGTGGTGCTTAAGGCATGGGTGTAAGAACCAGGACTTCTGGGGCCCTGGGGAAGGTTGTTTAATGGCATTAATATGTTAATGAATCTAACCTCCACAGTTCTGTCCAGAGGAGAGCTTATTTACCCACATTTTGCAGACAGAGAAACCTGTGCTCAGGCAGACTAAAGGCCTGGTTAGTTTGCTAAAGCACAGGTGAGCAGTGCTATCTGAAACACCCTGGGGAGTCCAGGACCTCCTCTGTTGGAGAGCCCTGTGCTCCAGCATGGGGGCTGCGGCTGGACAGCAGTGGCACCTCAAAGGGCACCGACAACCACTGTTCAGCAAAAGAATTGGGCCCTTCTGACCCGATTACTGTTCTGATGTCTTAGCGAGTGATGGGCACGAGGCAGGACCCAAGACCAGAGCTCAGATCCTAAGTCTGTACTTTTGCCCCAATACCATACTTTATGCATGATGCCTATCAGCTGTGAGACCCCCTTTTGCCTGAGCCTTTCTGGAAGGAAGGAACTCACCTGTATTCCTTCTCTTTAAAGGCTAGAGCTAGCTTTCCTGCAGGAGAGGCAGTGTAATGCAGTGGCACGGTAGCAATCAGAAAAAAAGTTTTCCTATCAGCGAAAGGTTCTCTCTCTGTTCCACCATAGACCTGTTTAGAGATACCAGTAATGTTTCCTGTCTGCGTGCATGGTCACAAAATCCTTTCT